GCCCCCCCCCCCCCCCCCCCCCCCCCTGCGTCAACCCGTGACTCCAATCCCCCGGTGGCGGAGCTTATAGGGGAAGTGCTAAGCGCACATGGAGATGTTTCAGCCAAGCGCTGTCGGATCCGGGAAATGCGGCATATGCTTCAACGGAAACGTGATGAAGGAGATGACGTGCGGGTTGCACTACGAAGCAAGTTGAATCTCATAACTGCCGGCCAGACGTATAATGACCCGCTACATGTCGGAATTTGAGTATTCATCGCCTTTCTTTGCGCCCGCGCACCCACAGCCTGTCAACAAGGGCTGTTTCGTGAATTGATGGCTTCTTCATCGGTTGCGACACTCATGGGTTGAGATTATGCGGTTTAAGTCTGCACCTGAACTGATCGATTTGGATAGCAAGGGCTGTGGGTCAGATAATATTAGCCAGATGGCAACGATGCTCTGGTTTCAAGATGGCGCAGCATGGAGCGTGCTCATCTTAGGAGCCACTCAGTTGGGTAGTGCATCTATCTAGTAGCATTAGGCGTCTGGAGCCAGTCTCATTGATTTTGTCTAACTCGTTTCATAGAGCAAGACTTCATCTACTCTAATCCGAAAACAAAACTCTCGAGCTCCGCATAAGCCCTCTCCGGATCATCATTAACAATAACTCGATCAAAAACACCCGCGGTCTCAGCGAATTCAAGCTCCCTTCTCGCCTGATCCAGTCTAGCCTGAATATTATGCTCACTCTCCGTCCCTCGACCCCTTAGCTGCTGCTCAAGCACATCAAGGCCCCGCGGTTTAATAGAAACGTAGTGGGCTTCAAATTCAGGGTTCGCTTTCACCTGCTTCACGCCAGTCATCTCGATATCAAGAATAGGGATGAGTTGTTTCTCGAATATTTCTGCAAGTGCTGCTTTACTGGTGCCGTAGAAGTCACCGGTGTACATTGCATCTTCTATCAGACTTCCGTTGGATTTGAGAGTGTTGTATGTCTCGATGGAAACAAAGTGGTAGGATATACCGTCTTTTTCGCCCGGACGTGCTTGCCGGGTTGTGTGGGAGACTGTTAGTTCGAATGTGTTCGGGTGTGCGTCAATGAGCTTTTGGGTAAGAGTTCCTTTACCTGCGCCTGACGGACCGGAGATGACAAGAGGTCGTCGATCCGGAGGTGCTGCTGCGGGGTTAGAATGAATGGTGTGAAGTCCGAAGGTTGATGACGTACGGGAAGCCATGTCGTCAACAACGGGGTTCTTGTCTTGACGATGGATAATGACGATTCGGGATGGGTAGTAGTTGGTATAATGCAAGCAACAATGCCTGGATAATATCTCAAAACTCAGGTTGTGGTTTGAGGGAAGCACATGGCGTAGAGCCAAAGTGTACTCCGTACGTCGGACAACCTTACCGCTGATATGTCCACCCAGAGAGCCTACATTAATTCACGTCTTCAAGTAACTCAAAGGCAAGGAGATACCTATCTACGTGTAATATATCGCATCGAGATATTATCCATTCGCATCGTGATTCTGTTCATTATGTACATGACCCAAACAATTTCCCATATCCATATCCATAAGTTGATCGGCATTTGCCGTAAAAAAGACGCTATTTCCATAACCCAAAGAATCGTTGAACGGTTAAAATCAAATCACATACATCAAGCTGGGTAATTCATACATCGAAATCAAGCCCAAACTGCAGTCGTGATTCAAGAGTACTGTGTCTCGCCCTCACTATCACTCAGACTATCGCGACGACGGCTCCGCCCATCACGGCGGTATCCCTTCGTCAAGCCCGGAATCGGATGCTTGTAGCTCTTGGTACCAGAATCCTCGGTGTCAACGTTGGAGTATTGGTACTCGGAACGGGAGCCCGCAGATGAGAAATCCAGGGGTTCAGTGAAATGGCCCTGGGGCGCGGAGCGGCGCTCACGTTGCTTGCGGGGGCTGCTAGTACGAGATGAAGGTGCTGGAGGTGGGCCAGATGGGGCAATCTCGCTGCGACGTTCACGACGACGGTTGTGGCGGCGGGTGGATGGGTCGCGAACTCGAGGCTCTTCGGTGACTTGGCTGATAACATCCTCGCTGCCTTGGGTGAACGAGAAACCGGAGGGATCGCGGCGCTGAGGGCGTGGCTGCTCGTAGGCAAAATCATATGATTGGCTCATCTCGCTTTGGTAGTAAGAGGTAGGCGGAGCAGAGGTGTCGTAGTCGCTGCCGTGGTAGGTTCCGTCGGCTTCACGGTTCATGCCGCCAACGCGAGCGGGCTTCTCTTCTCGGTAGGCGCGTACGTCGGCATCGTCTGCGCCTTCCCATTGCTCGTGCTTGTTGCGTCGGAGGAGCTTTTCTTTAGCGGTTTCTCTGAACCTCTTGCGCCGTGACTTCTCCTCTGTAACAGTCGTCCCTGTGTCGGTATATGATCCTTCTGTAAACGAGTATCCATCGTCGGTGTAGCCCTTTCCGACAACACTTCCACCACCGAGCTTGGTACTCGCTGTGGCATTACTAAGTGTCTTTCCGTCGGGTCCCTTTCGTCGCAGAACAGTGGACTTGTAGTCATCCCAGTCGCCCTTGCGCCAGATGAATCCGCCATTCTTGGCCCAGAAGAAGAACCAGATTCCTCCGAGGACAAACGCCAGTCCAATAATAGCAAACAAGGCCATTAGGCCTTGCATCTTGATGCTGTGCGGGTCGACCGTGCCTTGGCCATATTTTGGCTTGGTCGTCTCTTTTGCTGAGTCTGCACGTGGGAGGAGGAGGTGGTGGTGGGTATTAGGGTCGATGGAAGATAGTGTATCGGCGATGTTCTCATCCCGGACATAGAGTCCGGCAACGGTCGTTCCTGGAATGTCGGAGGAGTTCCCGAACGGCCAAATTGGAGGCATGATAGAATATTAGAGTGGTCAAGAGCACCCGGCTCAAGACTGGACTCACTATCAACTCGTTAGTATGTCGAGCATTATTGTAATTTAGAAACAAGGTATATGAACATACATTGGAGCAAGTGATCAACACCAGATGTGGATTGAGATCAGTCTGGAATGTGGCTATGGAATATGGGTGCGGAATGTGGGCAAAAATGAAGCACAGTGCCTAGATGGGTATTAGCGGGAGGTTGAAGATAAGAAGATGGGAAAAGTAGGTACAACCCAGATATGATTCAGCTTCCAGCACAAAATTGAGGAGGTTGGAGGAGAGGCTGGGAAGCTGTGTTTACATGGTGGTCGTCACGGGCAACCTGCTTACGTCAACACCCCACTGCCCAGACATCCACGGGTCCATGGACGGGTAGAGTTGGGCCACCCGTGGTCGATCTATAAAAAGAGTCGATCAAAATTGACTTCTATTTAGATCTGAAACATGGCGTCTTTTAAGGAAATGGATTTAATTATAGATCGATTATATCAAGTCGACAAATGCCACCCGCTAGAAGCCTCCGAGAGAGGCATACACGGTCGAAAGCTGTGATCGCGCCCAGACAGCTTGCGGGGTATCAAAACCAACTAAACAGCAAAAGCAGGAAAAAGCATCAAAACCAATGGATGATAAAATAGACAAGGAGATCAGGGAGGTTGTGAAAATCAACCAAATTGATACAAAGCCCAAAAGAAAGCTACGAGGCTCCTAGTAGGGCCAATACCAACAAGACCCATAAAATCATAGATATGGCCAAAGAAAAAGATGACCTGTTGAGACATGACAAGTAAACAGATATGGGTATAATCTCTCTCCGCCACTCGGAGTCGCGAACAAGGTAACCAGGAGAAAGACACAGGCCCAACAAGAAAGGCTATACAGGAAACGCTGACAAAAAGAAGACATCAGAAAGTAAAGCACATCAGACTTGTCATTGCAGGTCATCAGAATCGTACAATCGTATCGCCATAACAAACACATCATCATGGAGTTCGTGCCCGACCATTTTGCCCGAGCACACAAATATAAAAAGAAAATCGAGACAGCAGTTGCAAATGAAATCACACACAAAAAGTCCTCCCAGTTTAGCGAGACTGTCTGGCAACAGGCAACTCGAGACTTCATGACAAAGCCCAGCCTGTTCCCCAAGTAGCCCAACAGAGTCTCGCTTTAGGTAATCCCCATTGTTTTTTTTTTGTTGCACAAGCACCCGATCCAGAAGGAAAAACCAAAACCACAACATATGCAAAGCAATCGAAACTTTTGACAAACGGACAAGGCCAGCCACGAACGGCTATGCAGACACAAGATGGAATCACAACAAAAAGACCTAACCATGAAAAACAAAAAGAAACACAAAAAAGATATAACATCTAATAGGGTAACAAGATCAACGGTGGTAGCGAGTACCCCCGTAAGCCGACTGGCTGTCTCGACGACTAGATCGTTCCGACCGCCTATCTTCCCGGGGACGTCGCACCACATCTTCAAGTTCCCGGCGGCTGGAGTTGCCCGTATAATCAGAGCTGGTACCGTTCACATGCTGCTTGGATGGCCGCGGGCCGCCGATGTTCAACCGAACAGCCCCGGTTTCCCCAGCACGGATGTTAATAGATTTGCCTGCAACTGCTTCAGATGTAAATCCAATTTGGAATCCGTTCAACGTGAGGGTCATGTTCTTGTCGTCTTCCTTCCGTGAGGCTGTGGCACTGCCACGGCTGCTGTTCGACCGACTATTCTGGCTACCGTTCTCGCTCCCGTTGCGGTGAGAGGCTTTGGTAGGGAGCAAGGCCTCTGTGGAGAGAGGCAGTGCAGCTGTTGAGGTTCGGCCGGATCGGGCTGCCTGGTAGTTCTCAGCTTCGCGCTCGCGGTCTTCAAGGTCATCAGCGGCGCTGGATGGCTCCTCGTAGTAGTACTCCGAAGGCTTCCGCCGCCGAGAGCTCGCCACAGCCACCTGAGCGGTCCGTCGATCATCCTGGTAGGACGCTGATCGTCGGTGATCTCGTAGGCTGTGGGTTCTCTCTGGCAACGGGGCGTCCCTTGACATGCGACGATGAGAACGATCTTGAATCACCGGCAAGGCAGCTGTAAGTTCCGGCATGTCCATGCGGTCCACATCTCGGTCCATGCCTCTGTCCCTGTCCATGCCTCTGGATGGGCGACGTTGGGACGGGACAATACCGGCAGAGGTATGCATTTTCCGTGGCGGATCTGGCCGCTCTGGCCGCTTCGCCTGGTGGATCTGCGGCCTGGGCCTGGGCTTGGCTCCTGGGGGTGGCATCCGATAGTAGTCTTCATCATGGTCCTGGTGTCTTGGAGGAGGGCGGTCACGGACTTCCCGCGGAGGATAGTTGTCCATAGGTGGCTCTTCATCAAGCCACGGCGAGTACGCCCCAGAGTCCATGGGTGGGTTGGGGGCAGTATAGATAGATGAGGACCGACGGCGTGATGGCTCTCGGGACAAGGACCGCTCTCGTGGGTACTCCGATGGGGGGTAGTCCGAGGCTGATGGGGCGTAGTAGGATGGTGCGTATGGAGAGGACGAGTACTGGTGCATGTATGCTGAGTTGGATGGTGGAGGGCCATGATCGTATCCGTGCTGGGGATACATCGGAGATGCCATTCCAGAACCCATTCCATGTGGCACACCGTGGAAACTCATGGGTCGTCCGTTTGGGTGGTAGCTGTGATACGAATTGGAGCGGCTGGGTCGACCAGGGTGACTGACGTGAATGTGCTCTATGGCGCCGCCTGGATATCGAGCATTGTGCGGGGACGATGAGTATTCAGGGACGGGTGGGCGTGGCTGGGTGTAGTAGGAATATTCGCTCTGTGGACGGTCAACCGGGGTTGATTGATGATAGTGAGTACCGTAATCGTAGTAACTGTCGTGATATTGGCGGGCGTGGGAAGATTCTCGTCGACGAGACTTGGACGACGACCGGGGCACGTGAGCATGATGGGCAGCGCCCGGATAGGCACCAACCATCGTCTCTTCGCGCGAGGGTCGAGATCGTTCTTTGTCCTTGCGTTCTCTGGTTGAACTTTTCCTGGCGAGGTCGTTCCGTTTGGGGGTGTCCAGCTTATGAGGGATCGGGGGGCTTTTTCCGCCTGACGGCCCAGATTGGGTGCTATTAACCGTAGCGGCGGTGCGACTAGAATAACCTGAGTCACTGGCGCCGTCGATCAGCGGCTCCTGGAATCTTTCCAACCTGGAGGATATTTTGGCAGCTGTATTGGCAGCAGCAATATTGGCAGAAAGCCTAGTGTCGGGTAGGATGGCGTGGTGTTCTTCGTCGTAATCTTCGACGCAGGCAGGCCGGGGGCCCTTACTGGCCATTATGTGGTCTGCAAGGCAATCGGGTGTCTAATGAAAAAATAATCAAAAAAACAGGGTTGGTCCCGTTTCCGACAAGGGCGACGTGGGTGGCTCCCACAGGACTCCAGACGTTTCTACTTACAGCAAGCCACTGCTCTCCTTTCACGATGAGTCAGAAT